TTTAGGCTAACTAGGAAATCATTGTGGCAACTGCCTTTAAGAAAAGGTCCAACCGATCCTCGCGCAACAGGGCTGTAGGTTACCTCTGCACTGGTGTAAGCCCAAGCATTGCCTCCTCCAGCTGCTAGTTTTCCTTCGAAACAACCCGCTACATGGACGAGAAAGGCCTCACGATTGGAGCTCCAGTCGAAACCGAAATCATGTCTAACCTTTGCGTCGCGCTGGCCTGCATACTTGTGAAGTGATGGCATCCAAAAGGAGCTCAAAGACTGGAGGAGAGAACCCTGCAGTAACCATGCTGTATCACCTGTCAACTGTGCTCCCGCGATCATGGAGCTCCTCGAGCGGACGCCAGTAACATTCGTCCCTGCAGTGCAAGAGTTGCCCAATGGGTTCTCTCCGCTCAATGGACTTCATACCATTCGTTCAGAGCTTTCACGAAGAAGTCTGACCATCGGTAGGCGGTCCAGGTATTCACCTGCATCCCGTGGAATCCAGTCGGTTATCGCTTTATCCGTCTTCAAAACGCATGACGTGTCCGGCCCACCTGATCTTCAAAACCTTGGTGAAAGCGCCGCTTCTCTGATCTTCGATCGTCGGCGGAGTGCGGAGCTCCGGATTCCCTCTCTCACTTGCGTGTAGCGGGAAACTCCGAGCATCGCCCTTTCGATGGCGCGTTGAATAACGCCGACCGCATGCTCATCCTGCTTTCGTAGAGTGAAGTCTGTACGTCAAGGCAGGAAGGACCGCGGAATCGAAGAGGTGGGCACGGAGCTTGGTGTTCTTCGTCTTCGCTACTCCCTCGATGTTCTTGGAACCTCAAGCCGCTCGTTCTCTCCTGCTCAGCTCTGGAGCTAAGTCGTTCATCATATTGATTTCACGACCCAGGTACATAGCTAGAGCATTCAGAGATGGTCGTTCCGTTGAGCGTGAATGGGGCATCAGAAACCAATCCGTTTCTCATGAACATCGTCTTAGATTCAGCCGTAGACCGATTTTTCCACACGCGCAGTCGAAATCAGCCAGCATTCGTTCCGCTTGCTCGATGTTTGGTGTTATCAAAACGATGTCGTCAGCAAAGCGGAGATGGTGTAGTTGCCGACCGTCGATCTTCACTCCCATGTCTTCCCATTGACGCATGACGTTCTCGAGAGAGCCGCTGAAGGCTTGGGCGAGATGGTGTCGCCCTGTCGGACTTTTCTCTTCACGTCGATGATGATCTCCTTGTAGAATGGTGAGATCTTGGTCGTGAAGTTGCTGTAGAGCTCACGAAGAATCCTGATGTACTGAGTAGGAATACCCTGGTTGCCCAGGGCTTCGATAACCGCTTCTGTCTCAACGGAGTCGAAGGCTTTCTTCAAGTCGATGAACGTGAGACATACGGCACTCTCGCGATACTTCGATGAACTTCATACTGTGAGTATGTGATCCATCATGCTTAAAGACACATGGTACGCTCAAACACATTGAGGGTGTATGAGACTATCAGCCCCCCAGCTGTCGATGTGTCGTGGTCCCCCGCCCAAAACTGCACGGGGTCAGAGTACGGGACCGTGGGAAAGTCGTAATTCCTTGCTACGCCGCCCGTTTTTGCAAACTCACGTTTTTACTAACACCGTCCGCGCGGCGTCGCGTGCAGCTCTCTTGGCTTTTTGCCAAGTCCTGTAATTGCGCTTTGGAATACAAGTACAACGCAATTTCTTTATGCGGATAACATTTTAGGTTCTGCAAAATAAGAACTGAAGATGGCGACGAGGGCAAC